CAGGGGTATTTTGGTCATTTTGGTGTATCTTCTTGAAAGTGAAAGGTCTATTGTATCTGAGTTTAAGTTATGTGTCCCATCTTCTATGAGGGACAAAATTGTCTTTCTTGYAACTCTAAGTTTTATGAATAAAATTCAAGTGGGTCGGCTAGGAGAGTGATTTTTTCACATTTCTCTCTTCTAGTCTGGCCGAACACTCTACTTTTCTCCTTCTTCTTCTTTCTCTTTTCTTTCTTCTTTCTTCTTCTCTACTTTGACCTGGAATCAACTAGGGTTTATTCACCGCCCTTTCATGAAAGACAGGTTTCGAGGCCACCTTAATAGCTAGTGTTATCCGCATACAGAGGAATGGGTGTAGGAGAGGAATGACCCAACTCCTGAAATAAAGATTGAAGCCAAACAACTTCACTACAAACAAATGACATTTCCCTATACTCTGCTTCCGTAGAGGACTTGGAAACAGTCTATTTTCTTGCATTTTCATGAAATTAGAGTCTCCTATGAAGACACACCTCCCAATAGTGGAGTGGCGTGTGTTGGGGCATCCAACCCAATTTGCATTAGCATAGGCCTTCAATTGGAGAGAAGAAGATTAAGAGAAGAAAAGACCCTATGATAAAAATGAGAGACCCAACAAGTTGCCTATAGAGGGAAGCATTAGGAAGTAGGGAGCCTTCTAATTTGGATAATTTGACATTCAGCTCCAAGGGAGTATCAACCTATTTATCATCAGTGAGGTTGGCCAACTTAACAAGATCAGAGGCATACTTGTGTTGGCAGACAAAATAACCTTAGGAGCTCTGTTGAACTTCAAGTCCCAAGAAATAGTTAAGAGGGCCAAGATCTTTCATGTGAAAGGAACTGTGGAGAAGAGACTTAAGGTCCTAGATTCCTTCTATATCATCTCCAGTCAACAATATGTCATCCACATATAGTAAGAGAATGGTAAGGCCTTAGGGTCTTTTCCAAACAAAGAGAGAGTAGTCTAATGCACTTTGGCTATATCCGGTTTGCATGACAACATCTCCTTGCCTTAGGGCTGCAATGTCTTGGTTCAGCCTGTAGATTCTAGCATTGTTCTTTTTCTGG